GTCTGTAATTTTGGGGTGCCATTCTGAAAATAAAAGGTACCATGATTAGCACAGGAATACTCTGTCTACCCATAAGAATTAAACGTACTTTCTTTCCCACTTATTCACACATTAATTTTTCTGCTGAACAGCTGAAGATGCCAAGGGTCTAGGCTGGCTGTACCTTTCTCTCCAGTTCATGCATCTGGAGCAGTCCAGTCAAGGGCTATACTATGAAAACACTAACATTTTAAAATCAGACTCATCACTAAGAGCAGATATGTCATGTTATGATAAAAAAATAGTTTCAGATAATTTAGCAAGTAGCATCTGTGTCGTTGCCAGCTGCAACTGAATCTTGTCTGTCTCCCAGATGGGGACTTTCCTTTCAATTGGTACTGTCACTGAAATAGCTGAGACTTAGCTCCAGACAGCTTTCTGGCTTCTGCTTATTTTAATGCTGGCTGATTCTCCTGGATTCCCTACTCTCCTTGTTAATGATACATTGAAAAAATTACCAAAATATTATGAATATTAGTGTGAGGTGTCCCTGCCCACAGCAGGGCGGTTGAAACTTGATGATCTTAAGGTTCTTTCCAACCCTACTATTCTATGATTCTATGAAGCACTACCATGTCTGGAGTCCAGCATATTGGACTTTTGCCTGGAGTGTCAAGCAAGAGTAATCATTCTGGTAATAACAGGATTAATCCATTCATCACATACAGTAAAAAGACACTGTTAACATTTGGACCGAGTTATTCTTGGTCTTGAGAAGTGCAAACGGCAGAACTGGCGTTTATGGGGCATTTGTGCCTCTAAAATGCCCCACTCCCCTATCACCTTCTCCTGCTCCTTGTGCCAAATTCTTGCTGCAGGGCTGGCTGTTACCATGGGGGCAAGAGACAGCCCTGTGGAAGGCTGTGTAGATATAAATGTTTGGCAGAGCCCTGGAACTTTATGTAGATGGTAGAATTATTCTGTTATTCAATGCTTAAAAAAATAAAAAAAAAGGAAGTGGTTTTGTTTTTCTCTGATTGCCTTAGTTCTTGCTTTCCTACATGAGAATGTCAAGAAAAGCTGTGTGGTTTTTGAAAGCTAATCTGAGGTCAGACAGTGAGTCAAAATTGATTCTTGATTTTTGTCAACTGTGAGCTGCAGCTGAAGTGTCTGATTTGGGAAAAAGGTGAGGTGCCAAGATGGCACACTGCCCTCACTGGCAGCTCCAGCTGTCAGCATCTTCTGGACTGGCCTCCAAGTTTCTGCACTTCCTCTGAACTGGTAAAACTCAGGATCCTTTCAGCTGAAACCCCTCGTGTTCCAAGTTTCTTTTATTTTGGTGTAGGGGAAGGAAAAGAAAGTTAGATCTCTGGAATGTGCCCTCATTAAAAAGAGGCTGGTAACTGGCCAGCTGTGCAGCTGGAGACCCTGTCAGCTCATGCATTTGTAACCGAAACACCTCACCTTTCCAGAAGTCTCTAAATGGATTGTTCTCAGTCGGACAAGTACACAGACATTATAAAATCTGCAATTACTCTTACTGTAGGGCCATAAAATATAGATCTATTAAAGTCTGGGTGCAGAACGCATAGGCGTCCTACAGTTGTGACCAGCACAAATGAGAGTCTATCATGGATGATGAAAACACAGTACTAGAAAATCCATTAGAGGTATTTGTTCCCACTTGTGATGATAGTCCCTGTAACCACATCAAAGCATCTCTGGGACTTCATTACAAATGTCTTATAGAAATACCGTATGCGGCTATAAATAAGAGTGTAGCAAAATCAGGGAGAAGAAACTACAACGCATTGTGTGATTTAGGGATTTGTGATCAATTATTTAGCATTTATATCAGAGAAGCACTTAATGTTGTCCATTGGGTTGGGACCCTGTAGTGCTGGGGACTGTGTACATATTGAATGAACAAAAATCACTGGCCCAGAGTGCTTTGACCATCTAAATTGGGTTAAGGACATACGAGTGTAAAATGAGAGAGTAAAAATTATTAAACTCCTCTCTAGATACCACCACTCTGGGATTGAAACTGTACTCGTATCCAGTAAGAGAATGGAAAGAACTATTTGCTTTTGAACTCTAGGAAACAGCACAAAAGAGACTGACAAACCTGTGGTCATGGAGTATAACACAGCTCTTCCCCTGTGCTCTTCCAAGCCCCCTCCTTTTCTCATATGCTGTCTACAAACAGAAAGAAGACTGGCTGGTGTCTCTTCTGGAAATAATGAGGCTGGCCAAATCTGGCTTGCAAAGTGGAGCAAGAACAGCATGTTTTCACGGTAATAAATGGAACAGGATTGTAATCGTACTTTAGACTAGAGTCTGGAGGGAGAACTAGCCTTGTTCTTCCTGATCCATCAGGAGGTTTGTATTTGAATTTGCAGGCTCTATGTGTTCAAAACATAAAAAAGAGATATGAATCAAACATGCCAGTAAAGTTCAATGGGAGTAATATGAACCCAAACCAATGATTTCCACACACACACGTGCACGCCCAGCTCTGTTTGCAGTGTATAATTAACATGAACTGGTTGGCAGTCCTGCAGTAACGAGGCACAACAGCATGAGTTAGGAATCTGTCATCAATCTTAGCTTACAATTTCTTTCCTGTTGTTGGTTTATGCTAACCTCATCATACTTAAATAGTGGTATGCATCTTTGTGGAAAACGTTCAAAATGAAAAAGCCCACCTCAAAATAAACTACAGTGGATCCCTCAATTTCTAGCATAAATATGTAATTTGCATTTTAGAAATCTAAGATTCATACAACCCCAGATTATAAGAACTATGATTTGTTGCCGTAGACGAGCAGAGGTATCTTTGTTGTAAGTCTCTGGGTTCAATATAATTTTAAGCAATAAATCTGAAACCCAAACTTGTAAAATGCTGCACCTAGAGGGACTGCCTGTGTGGGTGCAGTTCAGATAATGATGGCAGAGACTCCAAGTACATGCAGGATGTGAAAATCCAGTTTTCAGTTGAGGTGGCTTTGCAAATCTCAGCCTGTTTATTCACCTCAATGCATTTGTCCCAGTGAAACAGATGTGTCAGGGAAGCATATTCCTGTCCTGAAGGATGATGCTGCTGTAATTCAGACAGATTTTCAGGTGTTTTCTTTTGGGATGCATGTGGGGGAGAACGGAGCGATGCTCTAGTCTTTTTCAGGCATGAAATGGCAGAACCTCCTTGCTCGTCCCATCAGCCTGCAACTACAGGTTCTCCAAATTGTTTGTCTGAATGCCATATTGGAAAGCCAAAAGGCAGGAAAGCTTCCTGTCCTCACACTGTTGGCATGATACAACCAATGTACATGTTTCTAGTATCCCTGAGAAGAAAACTTTTGAAGTTTACAGAAACACTTGAAAACAATCTTGAACATGAATTCTGAACTCATCAAAGTGACAGCTTTTATGTGTATGTGTGTGTCTATTTACATATGAATGTATATATAAATATTACCAAAAGAAGTTTTAAAGTACCAGTTAATTTCCACTCCTGGCAAGGGGAATATTTTCATTGGTGTTAATAGAGAGTAGAATCAAGTCCAAGCTCAGGAAACTGCTTCAGCCTGAGCTTTGAGGAGGTGGTTTGTCCCAGAGACTTCATTTAGGCATGCTAGCAAAAGCTTTGCTGACTAAGGACTTCCATAGCTCAGCTGGTGTGGAGGGCAACATCCAAGCTGGATGCTATAGGATGTGGACCTCTCTCGAGAGCAATGTGCAGCAGCCAACCATCTGCAAAACATGCAGAGTAATCAGAATAATTCCCTTGGCAGCCTCTTTCAGAAACTAAGGGGAAAAGAAAGAGAAGAAAAAAGAAAGAACTTCATTGTAGTTGGCATTGAAATACTCCTGTGATTATTGGCTTCACATTTTTTAGTTTGGGGCTATATATTCAAACATTTTTACTCTCAACACCAACTGTTATAACAAGATCCTCAGGGCCAATGAGTGATAAGGGGGGAAAAAGAAAACCCTTTACACTAGTTTTGTGTTCTCTCCCATTGACAAAGGTAAATCTTGATCCTTAGGAGGAAGTATGCTTTAGGGGGAGTTAGCATTATTTACTAGTTCCCCAAACCAGCTTTTATATCTCATTGTGGGGATGGCAAACCTCCCTGACCTCATGAGCAGTATACAGAAATCTTCTCGGGACTGACGGACTATTGTCCCAGAATTTCTATGAATGCCCTAATTGGGAAAGGTACAAATATTAGGATCATGTCTGTCTTCTTTCCTGTTATCTTTCCTAAAGCTTTTTTTTTTTTTTTTTTGATTGATTTGTATGGGAAAAGAGGAAGGAAAGGCAGGTGGTGTGAGGTTTTCTTTTCTTTCTGAAGTATTGATATGTGCAATAACATTGATATTATTACCTGATGCACTGCAGTTGCTGTTCTGCTGAATGGCTGCCTCTGATTAGTGACTACTGGTTAACGAGCAGCATGATCAAGCCAAAATTTTTTACATGGAATGCCTGTTTACACAGGAGAGGTCAGAGGGTAATGGTGTCTCCAGAGGTAGGCATGTGATAGCCCGTGAAGCTGACTTTACAGTGAAGGGATGCTATAGCAGGTTCAGCTCTGAAATATGTTGCATGTACGAATGGAGGAACAGGAAGTAAAATGAGCGCATTTTTCATGTGCCACATGTAATAATCCTTTAAATACTGTGTGAGCCCTCTAGTGGTGCTCTCCATGCCCTGGAAACCTCCAGGAGCCAGCTGGAGACAGTAGCTCTTTGCCCATCATGTTAGTACCAGTGCTGTTCTTCAGGGTTCAGCATCTGCATCTCCTTATTTCACATTACTGTTTAAACCACAGAGATGAGAACTTTATTTCTGTCTACTTGTGATAAAACATTCTTCAAGGCATAAAAGGGAACTTGCTGAAACCTGTTTCCTTCTTCAGTCCTCCCTGTACGAATTTAGCTTGCCTGCAAGAGGTGCAAGAAGCTTGCCTCTTCAGTAGATGTCCTGGACCTTCCCGGGTCCTACCTTACAGCCACCACCACACTCCCATTGTGTCAGTCAATCCTGTAGGTACACACATTATACTTCTGCAAAGATGACATTGTAACGAGCCTCTGTGCTGCTGTTTCCTTGGGGTGGAAGCCATGCCTGCCTGCCTTGTGTGTGATGCTACTGCTGGCCAGCTCACAAGTTGGGGCCATGCGAGGGCTCTGTTTTCATAAAGGTGTGTGACTTCTCCATCCCAGACAGCTATGGTGGACAATTAAGGCAACATCGTGCCTCCCATTGCAGCTACAGATCTGGTTTTCAGCATGCCACGCTATTTGGGGTTTGCCAAAGCAGTGTAGTAAGGATACAGTGCTGCATGCAAGAATTCACCAGAGAGAAATAGTTTGGCTGGAGAATCCTAAACTTGTTTCTAAAAAAGAGCTCAACTATGAGATTTCTGTGCAGGCAAAAGCATCACTCTACTTATTCTAAACACAGTTTGGAGTGCTCCTTTATTTTTTAGAATTGACTCATAAAGACTACAGGAGGGCACCAATTAGTGAAATAAACCTCTAAAACTCAGTGCAGTGCCTGCTATAGGATGGCTGTTAACAGCCTTCTGCTAATCAATTCTTTTCAGTCAACTAAATGCCATAGACGTTATGTAAATAAATGCAACCCTAAGAGTGTTCTTCAGTGTGCAGTTTAAGCTATGTTCCTTCTACTCCACCATAAAATCAGCATGCATGTTAACAGATATCTACTCCACCTTGTACAAATGACTTTTCTTGTTTATTTGATTGCTGCGGCTTGGGAGAAACAGAAGCAGTGAATAGCAATAAACTGCCTGTACTTCTTGGGCAACATTGTAAAAATCTGATACCTCAATGGCAACCAAGGCACAAAACAAAGATGTGTATTTTACAGTCAAAGTATGGTCCACAGTTTAGGTTGTTATTTTAGTTCTGTTGTAAATTTTAAGCCAGACAGCCATCCTTCAGCTTTCTGGGCAAAAGGGCTGCTCCTCATAACCTTCTTCATGTATAATAATCATCCAGAGATTTTTTTTCTCCTTACAAGTTGATATATTAGTGAAATACATAATAGTAGTTTGAAATGAAGTGGTGTGCAGAATCCTGTCAAAGACAAATGAAACCAAACCCCATCAAGAATGATGAAAAAAAAGCCACATTGTCTTTAATGAAACTAGAATTTCACTCCTAGTATTTGGTGTGTCAGTGAGCAATACTTTTAAACTAACAAAGCTCTTTTTTCCTAAGCAGGGTTAAAGAAAGCTGGACAACAGTATGTATTTGTCATGTCCCTTCTGTGCTGTTCTGAGGCAAGAGCAGTGATGCTCATGAAGGGATAATTAAACACCTGATAGTTTCAATACCACATCCCAGTGTCCTTTATCAGAGAAATCAGTGTATTTTTGACAGAAGAAAATGAAGACACGAGGAGATGGAATAGCTTGCTCTGAATTATCCAGGAGAACTTTAAATAAAGCCCAGATCTTGTGTGTTCTTGGCATTGAGCAGACATTTAAAACAAAGTAAACAAGAAGATGCTGTGTCCTGCAAGTTTCAATGAGTTGCTCACGTAACATTCTCAGTCTGTCTTTATCCTAGTGTTGGATAATAAATCTTGAATAAATAAAGCATTTTGTTTGAGTGTCTAGCATTTAAGAAGTTTCAAAAGCTCCAAAGTTCCATTATCTTGTGTAGGGAAATGTATCCTTTCCTCCTCTTTTCTTTTTTCACTGCGGGTTTTGTTTATCATTTCTTACGATGTTGTGTGATATGTATCACGGGTGACTTCAAACACTCATTCTTTCTACGGATAAAAGATCTTAATTATACAAATTCCTTCTGTATAATGTGAACTTATTTAGTTTACCAATGTCTTATACATTAATAATAACTGTTTCCACATACATATTTTTAGCAACATTTTAGCACATAGCAGAGGTAATGAGCTTTTCACTCATTAAAATGGTCTGAGGTAAACTATACTGGCAGACTTGTGTGCACCTGAGGTATAACTGTTGAAATCTAAGGATTTCATGAAGCAGAAACAAACATACCACGTTTTTTACTCTCCAAATGTTACCAATTTAGGAGCCACTGTTCATTTATTTCATTTATTTTCAGCATTTTGTTAAGTATAGAGAATTTAATCTACCGACATAATGCACATGCAAAGTAATCCTCAAATCTTTAGAGTAATTAATAGTTAAATTATTTCAGAATATGTTTATAACCAGCAAGATTGCTTAAAGAGAGATCTTTCTGAGTTCAGTAACAGAAAAAGGTAGCTGACCCTATAAATTCAGCCCAGTGCAAACTAGACTGGTTATGTGAAAAACTAGAATTGAGAACTCAGTGAATCCTGGTGAAATTCCCTGATAGCAAAATCTAACAATTTCTTTGGATAATACTTAAGCAGATATGATCTGCTTGGTTGGTTGGTTGGTTTTTAAAGTTTATTTCCATTTTATTTCTCATATAAGAGTCTCAGAAATGTGATTTTTTTTTTCTTAACTCATAAATACCCTATCCGCTTATAGAAACAGTGGATGCTTTCTCTCTATCTTGCACTGGACTGAAAATACACGTTTAGTATAAAGCAGCTTGAAAATATGTAGCATGTTTTCCTGTCAAAGATCTATGTCTGCTATTATTACTAGAGCTAATGGTTTCTCATAATAAAACATACAAGTTGTCATGGAGAAAGTGCAAGGCAAGCATCGTAAGCATGTAGCAAAAGCCATAGATTATTTAAATACAGGTTTAGGGTTTAGTTTTTTTGTTATTTTTAAATACACGTATAAAAAAACAAAACAAAACAAACAGCCCAGAACAATTTCGTTCAGTATTTAATTTAGTGGCAGCGGTAGCACAGAGCCATTACTGCTCCCTCTTCGTTTCTGCTGACCTGTCTGTGCTCCTGAGCTCACAGATGGCTTCTGTGGGGGCTGCAAGGAGGAAAACCAGCCAGGCAAGCCCCTTGTCAGTGAGGTAAAGCTCATTCTACTGTCTTTCAGCCTTCTGACAGAAAAATGTAGGGATCTGTGACAAGACAAGCTCAAAATCATTGCTTTTACAGGTTTTCACAAAGGCTGCCTTGTCCCTAGAGGAAGTAATGTCCCTGGACTCCCTTCATATTCACAGCTGAGATAAGTATGTCCTCAGTCACTTCCCCAGAGAAGTCCATTTCTCAACAAAGATTAGAGGATCAACCCTAGTGGTAAAACTTCAGGAGCTAAAGTTTGCCTTCGTGAATTTTGCCCCCCTCCATCTAAACCACAGGCGTCACAGAACTGGAGGGGGCGCCTTCACATTAAAAGCAGCTCTGTCAAGCCAGCATCCATCTTCCACTGAAAAAGAAGGTCCTGCTCCCTCTCCCTTCCCTCCTTTTGTCAGCTGCTCCCTCCTTATATTGGCTTTGGTAATTGAGCGGCCTTAGGGTGAGTCAGCTCAGTTGACAGGTTGATATATCTGTCAGCAAGCTGTTATTTTATTTATTTTTGCATATTTATTATATGCAGTGTTAGATTTCCACTGGGTCAATTCTCTGAAATGATTCGCCCCAGAGGTATCTGGTTGCTACATCCATCCTAAGGAGAATGGGGCAGGAGCATGGGGCTGGGCGAGGAGAGAGGATGAGGAGCAGGATTTACACCCTCTTCCTTGGCAGGACTTGGTGAGATAAGAAACCATAACCAGATGAAACTCAATGACAGCTTTGATGTCCAGCTTGAACCCGCTGTGCACTCCTGTCGTGTCCTTGCACCAGCTTCCAAAGCTGCAGGAGCCAACTTTGCAGAAAGCTCGGCTCTCCTTTGCAGTTCTTGTTTTCAGCTGTATTGGCAGAAATGCTTTTCCCTACTTGCTGCATAGGCAGGCCAGAGCCCATTCACCCTGGTGGAAGGGAGCAGGCAAGGCAGGAGTACGAGACCACTGTGAATAAATAGGATGCAGGTTTGAACTGCTTTGGAAGTGCCTCCGAGATATCCAGAGGAAATCATGAACTCTAGCTGTGAAATCACATCCTTGAGAGACCCCTGGAAATGTTCACAGTGTCTCTCTTCCCATGTCATTCTCCACATCATTCTCCTCTTAAGAAACATGTCTCCTTGTGGCAAGAGCAGTGGATTGATTTTAAAACACAAAGCCAGCTAACCCCAAAATGTATGTGACAGCTATCACATCTTTTGAAGTGATGGCAGCCTAGATGTCGAAACAGTGCTGAAAAAGTCAGATGCACTGTAGTGGCAGTCATCAAACCCTGACATGATGGGTGGTATCCTTTCTGTATGTATACACAGGCATCCCAGAAGCCAGAACTGTCTTTCTACGTCTGACTTATAAAAACTTATTTTTAATGCTACGCATATCGATTCAGTTTTGTTTTCTTCTGTATGATGAGCAAATGTGAGCATTTAGGTTTAGTAAGCCACAGCTGTGAAATACCTCTGACAGGGAATCTGCAAGACCAAATCCCCAGTCTGATGAATATTCTTAAAACTAAGCAAATTCAGGCTTCTGTACACTGAATATCACACAGGCTTTCACAAGATGTAAGATACTGGCAAAACAGAACAGTAAGTTTGATTGAAAAACAAAAAGCAACTATGAGAGTAACTATGACAGTAAATAAGAATAGCTAAAAAAACAGATTAACTACGCCTTCTTGAGATACGGAGGATTAGCTGTACAGGCCTGATTTATCACTGTATTATACTGATTTTATGCTGGTGTAAAAACAGGATGATAGAGCTGTGCTGAATGTCACTAAGTATGAATCCCTTCAGTTCCGTCATACACTCTCACGTGCACAAAACCAGCTAATAATTGAGCAAATCAAAGAAAATAGTACTAAAAATGAAATGGTAGAAATGTCAGGTGCAGGGAAAGACAATCATTATACTCCATGTTCAATGAAGTTTTACAGCAATGATTCAGAATGAGAAGCATAGAAATTTATTGAAAAGCTTATTTTCAATAAGATGAAGACCTCTTGCAAAGCAGCATTAAAATGCCTTTGAATAGTAAATAAGTCAGGCTGAAAGTTTCTTAAATACTTTAGAGTTAAATACACACCTTACATATTTGACCTTCTCTATCTTACCACAACACTTAATGCTTGTGGCTCTTTGAACCCTGTTCTGTTATTGTTGAGCTTGTTGTACAGTATTTTATTGGTTTAGGAGACATTTGGATTCACAGTGTCTTATGGAATAATACACTATTCAAGAGAAGCAAGCGTGTGACCCTCTTTGTAACAGCAGCACATTCTGAGAGGATAATATTCCACACATGGCAAAATTTATATTCTTCACAAGACATATGTTTCATGTCATGAGAATTCATATTTCTCCTTTAAAATTATGCACAAGGCTTTCTCAAGTGCAAAAGGCATTAGGAAATGTACTTGAAAACACTCTGAAGTTCTGGAAATGCCAAGAAACCTCATTTCTAAGCATGTTTATTGGAACAGAAATGTCAATATGTGCAGTGATTGCTAGGCTAGAACAATGCAGGAAAAGACCTTGTAAAGTGAGCCAGCACGGCTGGGGTTATCGTATTGTGAGAAAAGTACACCTTGCATGGTAGTAGGACATTAAAATAATGCAGTAATAAATGGTTTTGTTTAATTGCATCTATGATTGGCTTCTTTTAGCTATTTAAAATATTGCAAATATGATTGCGAATATTCCTCATGTGATTGTTTCAAAGAAATATTTGCTTGCATTCTGTCAGTAATAATCAGTGGCAACGTTACTTTTACCGTAAATGCACATGGAGTTTATGAGAGACTGCACAGTGGAACATAAACATATATTTTTGGCATTCCCAAGTTTTATGAGTTTTCTCCAGCAGAAACTTCTGAGAAGCTTATTTACCCATGTAGATATCTAGATACACTCATTTACTGTAAGTGAAAGCAGATTTGTGTCATGTGTTGCGTTTATTTTGATTGACTATAGATCGGTTGCCCTTTGATTGCTGTTAATGTTCTGTGGAGCCATTTGTTTTCTTGCAGAGTTAATGGTATTAAAGGAGAAGGTATTGCCTTCTTTTTAGTATTAATCCATTTTAAAAGTGTTCTTGTTTAAAAGGGGAAAAAAACCCAAACAAACAGATTACCCATTCTCTCACCTATCCTCTTTAAGACAATACCTGAACACAGATACTAGGGCCATGGAGCTTGTTATGGATTTGGGGAGAATACTTTTGTGAGAAGCCTTCTGTTAAATTACTGGCAACAAATCACTTGTCCCTCAGGACACATAGCACTTGCTTTTCTCCTGGCAAAAACTGGAGGGAACCTGGTCTAAATTTATCCACTATTTATCCTGAAAAGTTTTAATAAGGGCTTAATTGTAAAGGGATTTTCAAGTAATGACTTGTAGCTGGCGAATGTATCCCAGTTCAGGGAAAATAACTATTCCGATGCCTAGTTCATAATCTTTGAGATTAAGACCATGGCTGGTGGAATTTATGTAAAGAAGTGTAAATAAATACATCAAGATGTGATTGGTTGGAGATTGCTTCTCATTCATCCTCTTTCTCCTCCTTTTGCCTTATTCTTCCTTCTGCAAAAGTGGGGCAGACTGGGAGCCTATGCAGACCCAGGGGCTGGCTTGCTGGTTCA